TGGATTGGATAAACATAACACCAGGCTCTGAATTTCAGATCATCTCGAAAATAAGCTCCAAGACAAATTACAGCCTGTAAGATGCATAAATCCAAGATGATTTATTGCTTGATGATAATTTAGGCCTAAAACATATTGTGGTCAGTTTGGCTCTATGGAAAGCCAATACACATATTTCTAAAGTCAAAATGCACAAAAGTAAGCAAAATAGCATGGCAATCGCATGAGCATCTTTATATGAAATTTGACCTGAATGGTAGCCAAACAATGAACTGTCAACACACATTAGTCTGTGCTTGAAATACAGACAAAAGGTAAAAAAAAAAATAACTACTGTTTTTTTCAGTTATTTACAGCCCGGGAACTTGACCCATACTCCTTTTCAGCTATCTGTCTGCTTACAGCGGTCCACAATCTGCAATTCAACTAAATTATTTACTGTCTGAAGAACAGCTGACATATTCAAAAGATAAACATTTCTGAGAAAAATACAATAAAAACAGACAGTGTAACTCATGTTTGGTTTGCTTAGATGATGTAATGGTTATACTATGCTGTCAGACCACATATGTCCATGCAGTGTTTCTGTAGCGTCAGTGCCTGAAGTATGGATTACCGCATCCATTACCGCATACCTTCACAGTACAATCCAGGCAACTTGATGGCAGGAAGTTTTATTACTTCCTATGGAAGTTTCCTCTTACACTGATAAAAATGATTTTGTGGTAAAGTAAATACTACATAAAAACAAATGTAATTTCTACATTAAATAATTTAGTTCAGGCAAGAATTAAACAAATTAAGTAAATGCTATATTACTACTCAATTTAAGCTTGTAGAAATTACATTTTGAAATTATAAGCATATTTTACTTGAAATAGTTTGTTATGTTTACAAGGATTCTTTAAGTAAATATCAAAGTTATGATCCGGTTTTTCCTATTATGCACTGGGGCATGAATAATTAAAAAGGTTAAAATTTTCACAGTTTTCGAGTTGTATTTACACTGTTTTAATTACACGGTAATAATTATATTGAGTGGACATTATCTTCAAAGAATAACAAGCTGCCTACTTGCTTACTTGCATGTTTGCAAGTGAACCACATGTTTTAATAGCATGGTTGTTTTCCAGTGCTACATTGTATGAGTACATTTTATAAATTGTAACTGAGGGAAATGTACTTCAGTATTGCATATTTAACAACATAATTAAGTAGAAATTACTCATCGAACTCTAAATGGCCATGTTAAATTTACTTAATTCCTTTGCTAATTTTACCTAACTTAAGTAGATTTTACTTAATTCAATACTTAAATTTTACTTAAAATTTATGTGTGCAAAAACTTGCAAAATAAAAATTAAGTAAATCTACTTATTGTTTTTTGTTCAGTATATTATTGTGGTACAAAAACGCTTCGGATTTCTCCTACAAGCTAGGTTCATCATACAGAGCCTCTTACAATCAGCTAGACATCTCCAGAAGTCATAAAGTACAATAGGGCCTTATGATTTCCACGATGTGAAAATTGCTGACAGAATCGCGGAATCAAGCCATTAAAACGGAATTTACAGTATAACGTGGAATGTCACAGAATATGGCAAATTTTAGATAAATAAACTGCAGTGGCGTGCACAGACCTCCGGAAGGGCAGGGGAGAAGTCACGTGAGGAGGGGGGGTGCATCCCCTTTGGTAGAAATTGCAGACCGAAAGGGCACTTTAGCATCGGCGATTAAAGAGGCGTGGGCTCAAGCCCACCCAATCATGCGGAAAATCGGCTAATTCAGGTCCCTGTCAGGTCGATCGGTGCAAGTTTGGTTTAAAATGAAGAAACTGTGACAGATGCTTATTAAATTATACAGTAAAATTTACTTCTAAAAGTAATAATACATTTATTAAAACTTTATTTTGAAGGACTATCACACAGCCTCTGTTTTAAAATTGCTGACAGAATGGTAAAAAAAAGCCATTAAAACGGAATTTACAGTATAACGTGGAATGTCACAGAATATGGCAAACTTTAGATAAATAAACTCATCATATCATGATATGCAGTGGCGTGCACAGACCTCCGGAGGGGCAGGGGAGAAGTCACGTGAGGAGGGGGGGTGCATCCCCTTTGGTAGAAATTGCAGACCGAAAGGGCACTTTTAGCATTGGCGATTAAAGGGGCGTGGGCTCAAGCCCACCCGATCATGCGGAAAATCGGCTAATTCAGGTCCCTGTCAGGTCGATCGGTGCAAGTTTGGTTTAAAATGAAGAAACTGTGACAGATGCTTATTAAATTATACAGTAAAATTTACTTCTAAAAGTAATAATACATTTATTAAAACTTTATTTTGAAGGACTATCACACAGCCTCGGTTTTGTACTACTACTAAAAGAAAAATAGGAATTGCAAAATTTTCATTTGATTACATTTTTAAAGATGAATTAAATTGTTCATGTTTTGAAATAAGAAATCAGGAAGGGGGCCAACACTTTTTCACACCACTGTATATGCAGTGGCGTGCACAGACCTCCGGAGGGGCAGGGGAGAAGTCACGTGAGGAGGGGGGGTGCATCCCCTTTGGTAGAAATTGCAGACCGAAAGGGCACTTTAGCATCGGCGATTAAAGAGGCGTGGGCTCAAGCCCACCCAATCATGCGGAAAATCGGCTAATTCAGGTCCCTGTCAGGTCGATCGGTGCAAGTTTGGTTTAAAATGAAGAAACTGTGACAGATGCTTATTAAATTATACAGTAAAATTTACTTCTAAAAGTAATAATACATTTATTAAAACTTTATTTTGAAGGACTATCACACAGCCTCTGTTTTGCACTACTTCGCCAAAAAAAAAGAAAAATAGGAATTGCAAAATTTTCATTTGATTACATTTTTAAAGATGAATTAAATCGTTCATGTTTTGTGCCTTCATATGATTACTACCGTTTTTGATAATAAATTTGTATTAAATCATACATCCAGAAAAAGTAAAACGGACAACAGAATTTCAGAAAAAATAAAACATTTCATATGGCCCTATAATTTTAGAAATTTTAATAAATTATTAAATTGTTCAAGTGTTACAAACTCAATTGATTAGAAATGCTTTTTGATTAAAATTTCATTAAACCATTAAAGTGGAATCCAGAACAATTAAAAAGGAAAACACAGAATTTAGAAAAAATCTAGCAGAATTAGGGAAAATGTCATTTTAATAAATAGGGCCCTAAGATGTCATGTTAAACTTTGAATAAATTGCTGTTGAATTGTATAAGTTTCATGATTTTCATGGTTTCATAAAAAGGAACAGAATATGGCAAAAAAAAAGGATTTCACCGGCCCATTTCAAGTAGTCACTAAAATTAGTCTTTCTCCCCCCAGGCTATATGATGCAACTTCTATTTCTGCTCTGCGTTAATATTTAATAACAAGGAATTGTTATTAAACCTGTGATGTGATTTTGTTTCAAACTGAAAGCCTCTTTAAAAGATATCTCAAGAATCTCACGAATTTTAACAAAAAGTCTATGGTGGTAGTACAGTAGTTGATGTTGTTTTAATAATTTATTTAAATACATTATAGCACCATGGTATGCTTAAAATAAGTGTCATGTAAATATATGAACATAACAATTCAGGACTATGATATCACCACCACTGTACTGTACACCACTCGCACAGTACATTTTTGTAAGCACATGCTTTTAGAACAATAGTAACTTATAGTGGTGAGGTGACTTGGAAATCTGATTCGAAAGCATGCAGCTCTCTGACCACATGGGGAGGTTTTTAGCTAATTACTTGGATGTCATATACACGGCCAGTTGTCGGAGTAAAGTCATGGATCTAAAGTCAAGTGTAACTTATAGTGGTGAGGTGACTTGGAAATCTGATTCGAAAGCATGCAGCTCTCTGACCACATGGGGAGGTTTTTAGCTAATTACTTGGATGTCATATACACGGCCAGTTGTCGGAGTAAAGTCATGGCATGGCACAATCTCTCAGACAGCTGAGGCAGACCCTTCACATTCCTCACATCACCTGTGCTGCTCTGCTGGGAAAACAACACTGCCACCAATAAGAGCAAACTTTCCCCAGCAACTCCAAATCACTTTGACAACTAAAGTGACACATATGTCAACCATCACAGAAAGTATTTAGACACAAACTCTTTTTAAGCAAAACAAAAGTTTGTTAGGTTTCAAATTCAAATAATAAGGACTAAATAAATTGTTTAAAATTAAAGGCAGGGTAAGCGATTTCTGGTAGCCAATAGGCCCTTTCGCACCGCTTTAGTTCCAGAACTAAATGTAAGGTACTAAAGTACTGGGACGAGCTACACCTGTGGTTCCTCTGCTAGGAAACCTGAGTGAACTTATGAGGAACTACATCCACTAATATCACATAGTTCTGTGGGGGGAAAAAAGCTGTATCATTATTTTTTTTTTGCAGATGGCACTTGCCATTTAAATGCAATGACATTCATACACCTATAACTCTAACTTGAGTCCCCACATACTTTTAGGGCCACTGTATCTCCAAAAAAAAAGACCAGTGAATGAGAGGAACATTTTACATTCTGACTGGGTCCGGATGACTGTGCAGATTTGGCCCATGATTACCGCAGTACTGGGGCTGAAGTGAGTGTTCAATAATACATGCATCATCATCATCATCCTCCTCATCTCCACCCAGGGCATCTGTCACACTTTTTATTCAGCCGCTGTGAAAAATCAGCTCAAAGTAATTCTTACACTATTATACGGTTCCACCCATCACTGGTCACCCTGATGTCCGCTGACACTGAACCAAAAGAAATATCACGATATAGTGTTGCACGTATGCCACGCGCAAACGTCCTGAGAGCCCGTAGACACAGAGCAGGAGTTGTTACTCTGATGTCTGGCGCTGCAGGGAAACTTCGAGTCAACGTCGGGTCACGGTAAATGGGAACGATAAGTTTGTTTGTGTAATTCGCCAAAAACATAAGTGAATTTTAACACTCTAAATCTCACCTCTCTGAGTTCAGTGTAAAAATCCAGTGTGCTGCGCTTCTCCTTTAAGGACAGATCAACTCCAGCGCAGCTCGAGTCCACTCATATCCCAGAACTCTCTCTCTCTCAGATTGTCCTTTGCAACTTTCCCGTGTCCAAAAATACTTGCCGCTGAGCCATTTTGATTTAAAAAACGACTACAGTCGTTTTCCCATTGAAATTTCCCAACAGTGCGGCGTTTCTTTTCTGGTGGGAGTCGCTCGCTGAAACCCCTTTCTGTTTTTTTCTGCTTAATCAGTGCTGCTTCTCATCTGCGGTCAGCTGCTGCGGCGATGGGCGGCGGCTGCCTTTCAGAGATGCATACGTATTTAGTTGCGTCACGAATGTCAGCCAATCACCTTCGGGCACTGGAAAAGCGCTCTGCCCATCAACACTGTCGCAAACGTGTAGAAGCACGACATTTTCTATAACAACAGTTCATGGTTTACGGCACCTGCCCTCGTTGCGCTTGTGGTAGAGGAAGGTGGACGTTATGAGAGCTTACTTCGGGGACTCTTTCCTTAGCGAGGTAAGAAAAGTGTTGTCAAATTAGGTGACTGTTTTTATGAAGACGGCAGAGGAGTGAAATGTATTTGTTTTTAAATCGCTGTGTTTGTTTGGCCTGCATCGGTGCGCAGTGCAGTAGTCATCTGTGTATAATATGCTGAAGCACGTATACAATAACATTATAAATAGTCTTAACATGAATACAAGAAGTACAGAGTAAGTTGTAGTAATAGAAGTAAAGTAATGGCCATACAAAAATGGTAAGAAAAACAAAGTGCTGTGTTGTGTTAGTATTTTGGTACAGAGATAGATAGATAGATAGATAGATAGATAGATAGATAGATAGATAGATAGATAGATGTAATGTAATAAACATCATTATTTAAATAGCACTTTTCATACATGTAATGCAGCTTAAAGTGCTTTAGATAAAAGCATAAACATCAAATACATCACACACACAAATTGGTAACACTTTACTTGAAGGGGTGTGCATAAGACTGACATGACACCTTCATAATCATGACATGACACACGTCATGAATATGAAGGTTTTTTATGCATGTTTATGACAACTGTCATTAAGTGTGATTCGCTCAGTTATGTCATTTTTAATGCAAATATGATGTTATTTGACCTAACCCTACCCCTACCCTTACCCCTAACCATAGCCCATAACAAAGACATCTCAAATAATGTCATCTTTGCATTAGAAATTACATAACCGAGTGAATGACACTTAATGACAGTTGTCATAAACATGCATAAAAAACCTTCATATTCATGACGTGTGTCATGTCATGATTATGAAGGTGTCATGTCAGTCTTATGCACACCCCTTCAAGTAAAGTGTAACCCACAAATTAAACAAATAAAAAATAGCATAGCAATAAATACAGCACACATATAAGATTTAAAAAACAGTAATGCATAAAAATACAATATATCAATAACATAATGCATAGAATACTAATTATAAACATTTGTAACTTTCTTTAAAATGGTCTTGCATCTGTTGCTGGAACCGCCAATAAATCAGCAGCAGATTATTTTAATATTCCTTTACGGAATATAACTTGGCAATATAGAGAGTTGGCAATATAGTTTGGTCCTTGTCCATTATGGGCTTTGTACGTCAAATTATTGTAATTGTTAAAATGATACGTAAAGAGGAGGACCTAATCTAATCTATTCTAAATTTAATAGGAAACCAATGCAAAGGAGCTAAAACTGGAGTTGTATGTTCTCTCTTCCTAGTTCTAGTTAATAGCTGAGTCTCCGAATTTTGGATGAGCTGAAGTGTCAATTATTAATTTTTTTTGTGGGTGACCAGTAAAAAGTGCTTTACAGTAATCAAGTCTACTTTATATAAAAAAAATAACTTGCCCCTTTTAGACTTGCACTCTATTTATTTACTAACTTCTTTAATCTTTTTGTATTCTATCTATTTGTTTTTATTTATTATACGATTAACAAAAGCAAAAAAATCTTCTAACACTAACTTGCTCTATTCTTTTTCTATTCTATCTGTTTTCTTTTTATTTATTATACGATTAAAAAAAACCTTGCTACGGGTACTGCGTTAAGCTAACTGAGACTTGTTATAGCACTTGCATATCATTGCTCTTTTGTTGATTTTGATTGCTTCCATTGTCCTCATTTGTAAGTCGCTTTGGATAAAAGCGTCTGCTTAATGTCTAAAGGGCCTTTCGCACCGCTTTAGTTCCAGAACTAAATGTACAGTACTAAAGTGGCAACTGTAGTGCTACATTTTGCTACAAGTGCCTGCACTTCAGCGTCCGTCCATCTATCTCTGTTCTCCATACTTGCGAAATAAGTTGACACAATGTTTACAGTATGTTTACACGGCGTTTTAAATCATGGCGGGTGAGGGCGTTTTCGTACGCGTTTGGCCAATCAATGTCTACTTGCGTCACGATTAGTACTAGTTGTGCTGGTTAAACCCTGCTCTGGAGTAGGAGCTAACTTGGTTCTCGAAAAAGGCAGTCCGGTACTAAAATCGCACCCAGTTCCGGCGGTGCGAAAATGCCAAAATGTGCGTAGTTCCACAATTAGTTCTGGTACTATGAAAATGTTCCCGCGGTGCGAAAGGCCCTTAAATGTAAATGTACTTAAGGTAAAAGCATTAATGGTACTGTGTATGCAAATCAATAAAATCTCTCAATTCTCATCTCCACAGTAACTGTTGCTGTCATTCGGGTTGCCTTGAGGATGGATCCAGTGGTACTGAGCTACCAGGACAGTCTCCTGCGGCGCTCAGACGTGGCACTTTTAAACGGACCCCACTGGCTCAACGATCAGGTCATAGGTTTCGCCTTTGAGTACTTTGCAACAGAGCACTTTAAAAGTTTGGGCGAGAATGTCTGTTTCATCAGCCCTGAAGTCGCTCAGTTTATAAAGTACGCCTCATGTCAAGAAGAGCTCGCCATTTTCTTGGAGCCGCTGAATCTTGTGTCTCGTCAGTGGGTTTTTTTGGCTGTCAATGACAACTCTAATCAAACGGCTGGTGGCTCCCATTGGACCCTGCTTCTCTATCGGCGAGACACCAGCCAGTTCTCCCACTACGACTCCCAGAGTGGAAGCAACTCATTGCATGCCAGGCGTATTGCAGCCAAGTTGGAGGCTTTTCTAGGCACTGGAGCCAAAGTGCCCTTTGTGGAGGAGCAATGCCCCTCGCAGCAGAACAGCTATGACTGTGGCATGTATGTGATCTGTAATGCCGAGGCTCTATGTGAGAGTGCTAGAGTCGAGGGCTGTCCCCACCTGCCCGCTCCGATCATAACACCCACCTACATTACACGGAAACGGACAGAATGGTATTCACTAATACAGAGACTCGCCAAAGAATGACTAGCTGACCTTTTATTACATCATGCAACAGCACCGTCATGTTCGCATGAACTGTATTAGCCAATGGGCAAAGTGAACACACTTATTTATCGTACTCAATCCTGCACAAAGGATGCACAAAATAAACTGCATTTGGAAACAGCATGCACTTCTCAAAAATTGTTTGCCAAACTCTTGAATGAATAGTTCACACAAAAACGAAAATCCCATCATCATATTACTCGCCTCGCTCCAAACCCAAACTGAGAAGTGAGATGCAGAGTCTTCACACTGCTTTTTTTTTCATAAAATGAAAGGGGCTGCTCTGTCAATCTCCAATAATTTCAAAAAAGCACCATTAGAGGGATAGCTCACCCAAAGATTAAAATTTGCTGAAAATTCAGCCTTAGGCCAGCAGATGAATTTGTGTCTTCATTGGAACTGATTTGAAAAAAAAAATGTGCATTACTTCCATCACTTACTCAACAATGGGTCCTCTGCAGTGAATGGGTGCCGTCAGAATGAGAAACCAAACAGCTGATAAAAACATCACAATAATCCACAAGTAATCCACACAACTCCAGTCCATCAATTAATGTCTTGTGACTTAAAAAGCTCCATGTTTGTAAGGACATTTTGTGGTTTTCTGATCATTTTGATGTAAGTGATATTCATACTGTCCTGACAAAATGGCTTATGATTGGAATGATTGGAAATAAAAGGCTCCATGTTTATAAGAAACAAATTCATTCATCATTAAGGCTTTTCAACTTTAAGCCTTTGCTTCTGGTCAAAATACCAGTCAATAATCGATAATAATGCTTCCTCCAGTGAAAAAGTCCATTCCTTGTTGTCCTCTCACATCAAAATCCATTGACATATTTGTTTAGAACTGTTTTTGGACTGTTTCAGATGAGACATTGGAGAAAGCAACATTATGCATTGAGGACTTGTATTTACATTTCTTACAAACTCTGAGTTTTTGGCTTAATTGATGGTTTAGAGTCGTGTGGATTATTGTGATGTTTTTATCAGCTGTTGGGTCTCTCATTCTGACGGCACCCATTCACTGGTTGGTGAGCAACCTGGACCATTGGTGAGCAAGTGACGTAATGCTAAATTTCTCCAAATCTGTTCCAATGAAGAAACAAACTCATCTACGTCTTGGATGGATGAGGGTGAGTAAATTTTCAGCAAATTTAAATTTTTGGGTAAACTATTCCTTTGAAGTATCAAAAAAGTAATGAATCATGTGCTATATTCGTGTTATTCTGAAGTCAGTTATATCCCTCCACTGTAGCTCTTAAATCAAATATTTATTGGCATTTATTTGCATACAGCATTGTTGCCAAACTTGACTGGTTATTGTGTTCGTCATAACCAATGGTTATGAAGGGAAGATTTAAAATCTTCTGTTCCTCACTCAGATCTATCAAATGGCTTAAGTAGATATAAGTAGAATCTGTTGCACAAGTCATATAAAGTACATTTACAATGCTTGCATAAATGTCTTGTTCATATTAACTTGACAGCCTCAGTTCTCATTCACTTGCATTGTATGCAAATGAGCTGTGTCAACATTCTGCAAAACATCTTCCATTAAGGAAATCAAATTCACAAGGGTGAGTAAATGATGACCGATTGTTTCATTTTTGGATGTGCTGTTGCTTTTACGAATACATCTATGATCTTTCGTCTATTCATAAGAGAGAAGAGACTTGTGATCAGTGCAACAAATCAGTTAGCAGCACAAGTTGGTCAGGTAGATCCAGAATGTATTATTGTTGATTAGTTTAGATTAGTAGCATGAAGTGAGTAACTGAATGTGATGCTTGTTTACAGGACCTTTTGCTCAGGGCTTATTTTGAGAAGAGTACAGATGACAAAGAGTGTTTTTGTGTAATTGCTGTCTAAGCTTAGGAAATGTAGTATGC